GTTTTAGTGACAATTAAGTGACGGGCATTTGTAATATCTACTTGGAAACTCTCATTAGGCATCTCAAAGACATACTTAGTCTAGCTAACCTTTAACACCACATTTGATTTGCTATTTTAGATATGAAGCCTTCAACCACTTCATCCGAGGTCTGAATGTCAACAGCAACAGACATGCATCAAGCTTGGATATTTGCACAAAATTTGCAAAGTTGGAAAAGCCTTGTTTTGTTCTAAGTGGAGGCAAATGGGGAAAGCATAATGAGTGAGTAACACTGACTGATATAGTTAGTTATCATAATTTCAGTTCAGTTTTAATACTAACTTTGTATTATGTTAAAGAGCTAGATTTTCTATTATATCCTCAGATTACAAGCATCAGAATCCATTATAACTTTGGCAAAAGATCCAACCTAGCAATAGTTTCTGAAAAACACTCCAAAGAAAGAAAGTATGGAAGATAAGGATATTAACCAGCCTGGATGTCTAAGAAAAGTAAACAAATTTTCATCACAAACATATATGCAGTAGAACTATTTTCATGTGTCCTTAAAACAAATTTCTATCATATATTCCATACACTGAATTTTTTCCTTTGTTTAAGAGAAATTATCGCGAAGGAAAGCTGATGACCCAGCCTTTAAGTGAGTGCTTGGAAGGAGCCACAGTTAAAGCTGCTGGTCTTCTTGGCCATATGAAAGCTACGCCATTCAGAGCTGTCATAACAGAAAAGCAGACATTAAGGCCGGTTTACATGAGCAACTTTTATTTGTCAATTACTATATGTGACAATTTTTTTGCTCGTGTAGACAAGCGAAATTGGACAATTTTTGTGTGGCAAATACATTTGCTGAAAAGCTGGAGTGTTAGCTTTTTTATGACAAATGTGGCGTCGGCCCATTCGGTCGCCGCATGTCAAGCCACATGATGCTGATCATCCACATATACAATTGGTGAGTCTGAATTCACTAAAGGCCGGTTTACACGAGCAATTTTTCTGTGGCAATTTTCTGTGACAAATGTATTTGATCGTGTAGATGAGATAACAATTAATTTTCGATCGCTGTTTGAGATGCATATGTTGTGGCCTCCATCTTTGCCTTATTTCGAGTTCATAGCAGAGGCCTGGAAAGTCGAAATCAGGTATACAGTATTATGCAAATATGTCATTCTTTTCTGGATATTTGAGTCTTGAGAGTGTATATAGTATGTCCTGAATGTCTTCTAGTCTTTCATAATTCTAAAAAAATAACACAGGAGAAAACTTAAAAGTATGTCAGTGGTAAATAGTAAACTATCCAGTAATAGTTTTTTTATTAATTAACCTCAACTATTTATGAAGAAACATACTATCCATCAAAAACTAATTCTCACACACCAGACCTGTCAAGTCTCACAGTTTTGCCATGAGACTCACGATTTTGACTGTAATCTCACGCTCTCACGATTTTGAACACAAATCTCATGACACGACAAATCTTAATAAAAGTAACCATGACTTCAGCTTTGATTACTTTTTTTGAAAGACTGATTTCTTCATTTGATGCAAACGACAGAGTCTTCTGTCGCTTCCAAGATCCTAATTTTTTTTGTGTGCTTCTCTGCTGCCGTGTGATTTTACATCGCCCAAGCCTTGGTGGTGACATGATACATCTTTTCCACAAGGAATGCAGCGAAATTTGTACTTATCGTTTGGCACAGCTTGAACTGGAAATTGTTTTCCCCACTCTACCTTGTAAGAGACTTTATAAACAGCAGCCCCTTACATTTCCGAGTTTCTTTCCATTTAACTGAGTTTTGACAGCTTGTGCCACCTGACTCAGTCTGAGAATCTGTTTCTTTGTCTTCGTCACTTGATGAATTATTAATATCTTCTGCATAACGTTTTGAATTCGATGTTGAAGTCGCCATGTTAATTGGAATTTTGTAACACTGATCTCAAAATATTTCGTAAAATAACTAGTAAAAGTGCAGGCAGTAGCCTGCGCCCAGGCGTAGAGCATGTATAGATATATTCTCTGTATCACATACTACCAGTAATATACGTAAATATAACATTACAAAACAAATATAACATAACATAACAAAACAAAACAAAACATTAACAACACAATACATTGCTTTGAATGAAAAAAAAGAAAGTGAAGGATTACAAATTTTCTTGTGCAACACAATTTGCCCATAGTAACTGCTGATCATCTTGGACCACTTTTTAAAGAGATATTTCAAGACAGTGCTATTGCCTCATCGTATTCATGTGCTAAAACAAAGACTTTTGCTGTTCTTAACGAAGCTCTTGCCCCTCACTGTCACAATTACATTGTAAAACACATCCCATACAGTGTTGGGACAGATGGTTCAAATGATACTGGAGTGGAAAAGATGAATTCTGTAAGCATTAGAATTTTTGATATTAATAGATCAAAAACTGTCACAGAACATTTTTTTGGTATGTGCTTGACATAAAGAGAGCATGGAGCCAAAGCATTTAAAATATTTGAATCTATTGAAGAGAAGTTTGGTCAGGATGCTATGCCTTGGTTAAACTGCGTTAGTCTAAGCATTGACAACACAAACACGATGATTGGGGTCAATGACTCAGTAGCTTCACGTTTTCTAGAAAAGAATCCTGAGATATTCATTGCTGGTTACCCATGTCATCTTGCACACATTGCTGCAAGCCATGCCAATGATGCTTTCAGTGATATTTTGGGACTGAATGTTGAAGATATTTGCATTGATTGCTTTTACTGGTTTGATAAAAGCTCAAAGCGAAAAGGCAAGCTCCTTGAATACTTTAAATTTTGTAACCAAGAATATCTAGGTGTTTTGAAACATCTTTCTGTGCAATGGTTGTCTTGGCAGCGCTGTTTGGAAAGAATTCCTAAAAAGTTCCCTAGTTTAAAGTCATATTTTTTAAGTGAAAATTTCACAGACCAACGCTTTCAGAGGTTTTGTGGCTGGTTTGCTAATCCATTATTGGAGCCTGCTTTGCTCTTTCAATCTGCTGTAAATTCATTGTTCACCAACTTCAATCTTTTGCTACAAAGAGATGAACCGACTGTACACCTCATAAAACCAGCAATAAAAAGTCTGGGCAGAAAACTTGCTAATCGAATTGTTCTTGCAAGTGTGATGAAAAATGTTAAATCAATAATGGAACTAGACCTTGAAGATGAAAGTATCTTCATGCAGCCAAGTTCATACTACAGGTACTACAAAATTTATGCTCAACAGGTTATTAAATGATGGCACCATCTGTGTAGCCACCTACAATAAGATATACCTTGCTGCTCACCACTATTTTAGAAGTTCTTTGAAATACATTTTGGAGAAATTTCCAGTTGATAATGCTGTCTTCTGCAATGCTGTTTGGATAAATGTATTACGCCGTTATGAAGCAACATGGCAACAGTTTGAATTTTTCCTTGAGAAATTTAGCTCCCTTGATTTGTTAGAGATAATCAATATTGATGAGCTGTATGAAGAGTTTGTAGATTATCAAACCATTGATGATGACTCTATTGGAAAACAAGCCTGGGAAGAAGCCAAAGTTGTTGAAGGCAAGGATGAAAATGATGATAAGGTTGTTCATCACAGAATTGATATTCTGTGCTTGCACATTTAAAAGTACCAGAAACATCCCAAAATCAAACATCTACCAAGGGTTGCAGAAGTTGTTCTAGTCATACCCCATCAAGGGCGTCAATCCATCCCAAAAAGTGGGGGGGACGGACTCCAAATTAGGAAGGTCCAGAGGTATGCTACCCGAAATTCTTTTATAATTTTGGTACACTGAAACGGCATTTCCAGCGTTTTGGAGGCATTTGTAAAGTACAATGTGCATGAACTTAAATCCATTTTCAGCCATATGAGAACTCCGCTAAAAACAAGGTTGTGCAAGTGCGATAAAGCACGTCAGAAGTTGTTAATCAGTTAATGTTATATTAACTGGATTAGTGCGAGCTTGAATATGTATTATTTTTAATAAAACAATAAACATTTCATTTCAATCGCAAAATGAAATGATTTCTGTAAAAATTATATCAATCGGTACATACAATGATCGATAAAAAACGAAAGCTAATGTGAATAGTAAGTTTATAACAGATGATCAATGTGTATGAGGCACAATGTTGCGATCATCGACTTGGGCCTGTTTGTTGCCTTTACAATTAGGTTTTCATTCCCACAACTATTCGAAGGTTCCGAATAGATTTCTTCTAATTTCAGACTTTTGAGCAAATAATTTTGCTAGTTCATGTACATTGACGTTGTCTAACTGTTCCTGGTGTACATGGCAGATGGAAATATGGTTAAGTCTACGCTGGGTCATAGTGGTTCGGAGCCACGTTTTCAGTCGTCGCAATGCAGAAAAGCTGCGTTCACACTCGCATGACGAAACTGGACACACTAGTAGAAGTTTCAGTAGAACCAGCACTTGGGGAAACAATAAGCGCACTGCATGTTCCATGCTCCGATAAATAACTTTTGCCTCATGCAACGATTCCGCTTTGTATGTTTGCTTGAACATTTCTAGCTGAATTGGCAAAGTAAGACTATCAAGTTCAGGATACTTTGACACCACATCTTCATCAACTTTCCCAGATGTCAACATCATCTCTAGCTTCAAGTACTGTGCTAGACCAGATTTGTCAGGGTCATACCTGTCTGACAAACCAGTGACTATGACGTCGATGAACTTGAAATACTGCTTCCTGTAGTATTCTTCAGAGCTGTCAGGCCGATATTCCTCTGCTTCACCTGTGTATCTTCTTGGGGGGACTCGTATCCGAGGCACTTCCAGTGGATCCAGTTGGTATTCTTCACATTTTTCTTCAGCAGCAGAGAATAACTCATGGAATGCCTCATCTGTGCGCTGAGCGCTAATATGTGTTGATGATGTCTTAACAGCTTCTACCATCCCAGAGACATTTGCTGACTTTGCTTGAAGTGCGCTATTCAACTGTTCCAGGATCGCGACTGGCTTAGCTGCCATCTTCAACCCAAGAAAGACCTTTCCCTTCTGAAACCGATCAAGTAGACCATTTGCTTTGGTTGCAGTGTCCGTTTCACCACGTGCCATTTCTTCCAAACTTTGGAGAATAGCAGGGTACGATCCAATGCTGACTCTATGGCTGCTAGTCTGCATAACCACCTGGTGGCACAAAGGGGCTTGATCGCTGTGGGATGCAGATTGTCATCTTCGGTTGATTCGCAAATTGCCAGGAATATCGCTTTGTACTTGCCAGATCTCTTCATAAGCACACCTAGCTCATTCAGCCACTGCAGGGAATCTCGAATTAATTGACAGGATGTTACAGCATGTTGCATCACAAGATTGGAAGCATGTGATCCGCAGTGGAAAAAAAGTGCTAGTGGTTGTCGTTCTTGCACTATGGCCTTGCATCCAGAGTAACAACCACTCATGTTAGCGGCACCATCGTATGTTTGAGCACGCATATTACTTATGGATAATCCACTCCGAGCCAGGACATCAAAGAGCGTACGAGCAAGAATGTCACCGGTAGTACTGGGAACTTCATACAGACCGATAAAATCTTCGTGTACATATAAATCTGAGTCTACGTGCCTCAGACAGAAGGACTCTTGCTCTTGACCGCTTATGTCCTGTGTTCCATCAGCAGTTACAGCGTAAAATTCATTCTGTTGAATATCACTGACAATCTTCCGTAAAATTTGGTGACTGAACATTTCTATCATCTCGTTCTGCGCACAAGGCGAAGTAAAATTTGTTGTATTTCTCAAATACATCTGCAGATCAGGAACATCTTCCGTTCTAAGCTTTAGGAGCTGTGAATAACTTCCATCATTTTCGTTGTGACCACGAAATGCTGAGCCTTGTCGCAACAAATATCTTATCGAAGTAAACAATTTCAAAAGGGAGGTTCTTGCTATTGCTTGTTCCTTTTGTTTCTGCGTGTGTATTTGCGCACTTACCGATGGCCTTTTTACTGCTGCGATTTGATTGACGGACAAAACGTGTGTATGAGATGTCTGATGCAACTTAAACTTTTCAATTGCCTTCTTCCAGTTGTTGAATCCTTCTGAAATGAATGCTGGATCTTTATAATGGGCTAAATCGTTTATCCCCATGGCACTAGCTTTTGAACAGTGGAAACACAGAATTTTTTTCAAATCGGGATCATAATGAATCCATTCGTAATCTTCATACCACTTTGATTGAAAATAAAGTGTTCGCGTTGATAATTTCTGAGCAGGGATAACAGACACTTTTGGATGATTAGGCTTGTCCAAATTCATGATATTGTTCGATTTTGCAGTCAATGGACTCAAAGCCGAAACTGTTGCAGGTGAGCATCTGTTACTTGTGAGAAAATCGCTAGAGCCGGATGCTTCAGAGGAAGGTGGTTGTTCATTGGGCAGCGAGGGTCGAGATATAGCCGCACAAGATATCCCTTGGCTTTCCGCTTCGTCATTTTCTACGAACTCTGCCAAAGAAGTTGGAGGATTGTCGACATGAATTACGTTACATTGCCGCTCATTTACAATTGGCGTCAATGGCGTGGAAGGTAGATCGTTACCAGAATCAGACGATGCCGTCGATGCGTGACTTGCTAAGGTACTGGTTTGCTCAACTTGCTGTGGATCCTTAAAAAATCGTCTGATTCCTGATAGTTTGGCACGTTTAGCAGGTTTCGGAGCATTTTTTCGAGGCATGTTCGTTGTATAAATTGCCGGTATTTGCCACTGATTTGGGAATGATTGTAAGTCTATCTCTACATCATTTGGTTAGATTGCAATGCTATGTCTACAACTTTTAATTGGCGCCAGGCAGGAAACTACAAAAATGGAATGTTTAGGCATAATATTTTACCATATTTGAACTTTTGAAAATGGTAAAATAAATTTATCTAGTCTTAATTCTTATTACTCGAGCTAAAGCGAGAGTCGCAGAATTGAACACCAATATGGTTCCAATTACCTATATCAAAATTCAAATAAATATTGCGCATCCTAGACCAATTTTTCCCAAAATTTGGCGCGCTCAATTTTCGAATTTATTTTGTCCAAAATTAGCAAATTGCGCAAGCTAGATCTAGGTTGCGCGATACAAACTTTCCAGTCGAGCGTCTTGTTTAATTTATTTTGTCGTTAAAATTAGTAACTTACGATTTATATGTCGATTAGCAAAACAAATTATTGTCTCATTCAGTGCAGCTTGCCAGTTAGTACAGGAAGTGAATACGACCAACAGTGCCTTTATGTAAATGTTTATAAAAATTACAATACAAATTTGAATTCAATTTTGAATATTTTTTAATGTCAGCGGCTACAGAAAGGTCATACGTTGTACTTCATCTTATTAAATGTCTTCGTTCCAACCACAATTCTGGATAAATAGCATAGCAGGCATTCGGTTTTTAGATTACCCAGAAACAAAATTTCATTAAACATGATAAAAATTGGGGGGGATAATTGGATATTCGTCCCCCCCACTCCAAAAACTGGGGGGGACGCGTCCCCCCCATCCCCCCCAGGATTGACGCCCTTGTTAACCCCATAGTAATGCTGAACAAGAAAGACTGTTCAGCATTGTAAGGAAGAATAAAACAGATGGCCGTTCCAGCCTTAAACTTGATGGTACCTTATCAAGCATTCTGGCTATGAAGCCGCAATACCTAGAAACGTCTGCACCATGTCACAAATGGAAGCCTGGGGATGAACTGCTCAAAGAAGCTAAGAAAGCAACCATGGCTTATAATAGAAAGCATAAAACTGATTGACTGACAGACTGCAGATTAAATGTAATAGAGCCTGTTTGCCTTAATTAAGGCTTAAGAAATGCTAACAGCGTAAGCTAACTATAAAGAAAATATGCATTATGTTGATTGTCTTGTGTATAAAAATTTTTTCCTTTTCTCACTATTTTTGCATTTTTCTCATGATTTTTTGGAAGGAAAATATTGTATCTCACTATATTCACTCCTTCAAGGTTGACAGGTCTGCACACATTAATATTTCAGCATCACCTTGGTATCTTCAAAAAAGGTCTTAAGATAGAAAATAGAGAACTGGTTGCAGTAGAGACAATCAACTTCTGCAAGAATGATGCAAACAACCAAGTCTTTAGAAGTTTTCAATGCCCAAAGGTTGAAAGAACAGGCAGTACTACAATCTTATCTCCAGACCACATAATTGACCAAGCCTGCCTCATTCACGATTGCTCTAATGGAAACTGCTCCCTTCAGGGCAACAAAAACAACAGTTACTGTTGAAAGAGAAGCATTGAAAAAAGTATTGTACAACTTAATACATAATGAAAATCAACAATACTACTTGGTGAACAAGTTTTATCTTGGAGAAACTCTCAAATATTTTAATTTTGACTAATACAATTGTTCATTATTAAACGGTAGTATCTCAAAAATATGCAAAGCTAGAAAAACTGCTTGAGATTGACAGTGCAATCAATCATATTAAAAAACTTAAGATCAATATTTTTTTAAATATTGATTTAAATGTTCTCTAAAAATACGTGATTTAGTCTCGCAACATAATTTTTATATTTGTCCTATTTTAAAAAAATGCCATACATTCTAGTATGGGCATATTGATTTATATTGTTCGCAGTTTTGAGTCCGAAACTTGTCAAAACCTTGAGACGAAAGTTTACATTTTTTCAGAGTAGTTTATTTAGCTTTGTTTCATATAATAAACTTTTTGATACTCTATTCTATTTGAGGAAACTTTTGCTGTAAATAGTAAATCATAATAATCATTGTATTTACCTTTGTATTCACTTAAAAGGAACATTACAGAGATGAACAGTTATTTGCTTTCTTCGTTTCTTTTCATTGTGACATGGTCGCATGGAGCTCCAGAAAATGGCTTAAATATTTATTTCAAAACCCCCCCCCCTGGAAAATAACGAAAGAACAATGTTGTAGCAAGAACATTGTTTTGAGTTGTTAAAACAGCATTGAACATGCTTGTTGAGTTGTCATTGTTCCCATGTGTTGACATCCAAAATCACGAATGATATCAGGTTGATTTGGGCTGTTGCAACAACTTGTTCCAGCCTTGTTAGTTCATCAACCGTAAACAACATTGTTCGAACAAGCGCGAACAATATTGTTAACAAGCCTTGTTGACAGGGTGCAGCACAACATTGCTGCAACCTGTTTTGAACAACTTTGAACAAGTTCATATCAACTTGCATCAACCTGAGCGTTTTTACGCCTGTAGATCAGTTTCAAAACTTAAATATTTTATCGTGTACTCTACTGATCAACAGAATAGTTAACATAATAGCAGCATATACATATATTCAATTTAGTTTCAAGTGAGATTTGTTTAGACGTTGCTTCAACAACAATTTAACCTTTGGTAGATAACTGTTTGTCATCAGGCTTCAAGTTGTATCCTGCTTGGAATTAAATTAGATTATATATAGAATTCAGACTTTGTTCCTTAATTCTTGTTGTTTTAACTGAGGTAGCAAATAATTTGTACTATAGAAAAAAATAGTTTCAGGTGAGATTTTTAAGAGGTTTTTTACTTTTATTTTAACAACAATCATTGGCAGATAACTGTTTGTCATCAGGCTTCAAGTATGATTGAATTATATAGAATTCAGATTTTCTTCTTTTAGTTCAGGTTGTTTTACTTGGGGTAAAAAATAATTTGTGTTGTTGGAATATAGCTGTGCTGTTTTCAATACGAACTGAAATACATGTTTATGACTGAAATACATGATTGTCTCCATTGGACCAATCTTGTGGTCATTTGCGTAAAACTCTTAACTTCTAAATTGTAGCGAACTCCAAAATTCACAATTCTTTTTCTCTAATTTCTTTCCTAACTATACTTATACATAACTGCTCCTTATACTACTGGCTCTGGCTCTACCTTTCTGATGTCAAACAAAGTAACAGAGTAGATCAAAGTAGCAATAGTATATTAAATTGTTACCATTGATTGAAAATCAAAACAACACATGCTAAGCACTTTTGCAACATGTTATCAAATTAAAATAAAATTACATTTGGTACTATATGCACATACAAAAGGATGAAACCATATAGAAATTATTACAAGCAATGGATTCCAAATGTGGTATGCCTCAAACAAATAGTAAAAAACTATAATGTCTCCGCATAATTTTATACCTCTGCCCTGATGTACACCTGAAACATTTTCATTATTGTTAATAATTTTATTTTGTACAGGGTATATCACAATCATTGTCCACAGAGAAAGATAATAGATCAACACCTGAGTCTAGAACAATTAAGCCAATATTCAGAGCTGTTAATTACAATATTTTAGTCGCAGCGAGACATTTAAAGTTGTTTTTGATCAATCTATTTATTTGGGCCATTTATACGAGCGAAAATTAATTGCAGCCTAAAGAAACCGCAACTAATTTAAGTCACAGAATTTGAGTCATTTTAGTTGGGGAGCCAAGAATCAGTTGACAGTGGATCATTGCTCTATGATAACTCCTGAACAAGGCCAGATAGTTCATAGAGTCGAAAAATGGGGTCATTTTTGTGATGTACTGTGCATGTCAGCATGAAAACAAGGCTGGTCAATTATCTCTGTTTTTTTGCCGTTATTTTCTTCACTGTGTGGTGTAAATAGACAGTTAACATAACGCACATAAAATAGTACATTGTTGATATCACATGATTGGTCAGGTGACTTTGTGTTTTTCAGGAATTAAATGCTTGGATGTTGTACATGCTTACAAATTATGAGGTATAAAACACAACTTTCGCTGTATCTGTTTGCACTTCTCTCCCTAACAATACTAAAATGTTAATCATGGGTTTTTTTAAACTTATTTGTGATGAACTGATATACTTTATTATTAGTATTTATATTATGTTGAACAGTTTTAATTAGGATTAATAAGGACACTTAGGATTAGGCACGGACAGTAGAGGCATTGAGGGATACTGTGGGATAAAGTAGGAGATGAAGGAGACGCGGCGGAAGATCTCGGGATTGAAAAACGCGGAGAAACTGCACCAACACTGAGACGTAGCGAGCGGAAAAGCCGGAACCCCAATCCACGATACATTTAGATACGTATCATGAAGCTATTCATGAAACTGATATAAACGTGGGGATGATGAACTGATATACTTTATTATTAGTATTTATATTATGTTGAACAGTTTTAATTAGGATTAATAAGGACACTTAGGATTAGGCACGGACAGTAGAGGCATTGAGGGATACTGTGGGATAAAGTAGGATGGAGGGAGGACAAGATGGCGGCGTAAAGAATGTAAGCTATTTTTCGAGAGGATAAAAATATAACGTGTAAAAACAAGAATATATTTATTTGTTCATTGGCTGTTTTGGTCTCTATGGTGTGTCGTCTTCCTCTTCAGAATCTGAGTCTTGATATGTGTTACTGTGTGGATTTAAGCATCAACCAGGTTCGGCCATACAGAAACAAGCTTCAGTGCAACAGAGTCCATTATTAGCACATGAACAAGTACTTTGGCACAGTGATTTCTTGCAGTTGCAGGTAGTGAGCTCAATTATACTCTCTGGTGCGGGATTGCTCGTCATTAAAATTGGGCACAATGCACCATCTTCCTCTTTCCAACCATAGCACTGAGGTTCTGGAAGGTCTTGATTGCCAACAAGTGATTTCCTCCAGACTAGTACTTGATAGTTGGCTCTTTTTAGATGCTGGATAA